ATCCTCCCACGACAGCTGCCACATCTCCGCGTCCCGCGGGAAGGACACCTCGGGCCACAGCGGCGTCACCAGGTCCTGCAGCTCCCGCGCCGCTGTCGCGCAGGGGGTGCAGCAGGGGCCGCAGCCGCAGGGGATGTACAGGGGGCTCTGCGGGGAAGCCGGGCCGTGCGCAGGGGGCTCCTCAGCCCGGGGGGCACCGGGAGCCCCCGGGGCCGCTCGGCAGCACCGCGACGCCCCGGCCCGGCTCCCGAGGCGCTTCCGCGCCTTCCAAATGCGGGCGGCCAGCAGGACGGCCGTACCGGCCACCAGCAGGACGAGCGAGGGGAGCAGGAAACTCATGGCTTCATCCGTGTCCCATCGTGGCCGCACTGGGAGCCAGGGGTGGTGGCACTTGTCCTGTAGAGACACCGTGCTGATGTCACAGTGCTGCGGGGGGGGGACACCTGTGTGACATCACAGCCACGCCTCGCCCCAGCGCTCACCCCTTTTGTGACGTCACGGCCGCAGATCGCCCATCCCGAATCCAAACCCAGCGCCGTGCCAGCTGCTGGGAAGAATATGAAACCTATCCCCATAAACCCAGCACACCAGCTCAGCACAAGGGCTGGGAGCACATCCAGGCCACTTCCATCACCTCCCTCGGGACCCTCGGGGGTGTCGCCAGCAGGTGACCCCCGCCCGGTACGGGGTTGGAAACGGGATGCGCCGCGTTTCCATGCGGAACTAATGTTCCCGCCGCGTTTCCTGGGCGGACGGCGGGCGGGGCATGTTTGAGGACGGACCAATGGCGGCGCCCTTGCGGCACTTCCGGCGTGTCCCGGCGATGTGGCGATGGCGGCTCCCGGGGCTGCTCCGGGCCGGGGGAGGTCAGGGGGGCTCGGCCGCGCTCCGAGGGGCCGCCCGTGCCTTGTAGGGGGTTCAGAGGCCGGGGAGACCTTCCTGGGCGCCTGAGGCTGGTGGGGGGGCTCAGGCGGGACGTGGAAGGGCTGACACCGGGGAGGTACCGAGGGCTTGGTGGCACTCCCGGCTGGGCTGTGGTGGCCTGAGAGCGGGAAGGAGAGGCCCCGCAGGGTCTCCCCTCTCCTCCTGCCCGTGCCCGAGACCTCCCGCTCTGTCCCGCAGGTCCCGGCGGCGTCGCGGTTCCCCGTGCGGGGCTGAAGAAGTGGAGGCTGCCCCCGGATTACAGCGGTGAGGGGGACGGACGGCGGGAGATCCCCGCAAGGGGAGGCGGGGGCACTCCCCGGTGTGTTCCTGGAGATCCCGGGGATGCTGATCCCGGTGTTCCCCGGCAGGGATCACCATCCCCGAGAAGCCGAAGCTGAAGTTCATAGACAAGGTGCCGGCCGTGCCCAAGGTCCGGCGGGAGCCGCGGCGGCTCCGTGACATCCGCGGCCCGTCCCAGGTGGCCACCGACTTCACGGAGGGGCAGTACGGGATCCTGGTGAGCGGGAACAGGCACGGAACGGAGCGGGGGTGCGTTCCAGATGCCGGGATTGCGTGTTGCTGAGCTGTCGCACCGTGTCCCCCCACAGGCTTTGGGCGGGGGGTACCTGCACTGGGGCCACTTCGAGATGATCCGCCTGACCATCGGGCGCAGCATCGACCCCAAATCCATGTTCGCCGTGTGGCGAGTGCCCGCCCCCTACAAGTCGGTGACGAGGAAGAGCCTGGGGCACCGCATGGGCGGCGGGAAGGGCCCCATCGACCGCTTCGTGACGGCGGTGAAGAGCGGCCGGCTGGTGGTGGAGGTGGGCGGGCGCTGCGAGTTCGAGGAGGTGCGGCCCTTCCTCGACCGCGTGGCGCACAAATTGCCCTTCCCGGCCGTGGCCGTCAGCCGGGAGAGCCTCCAGGAGATGCGGCGGGAGGAGGAGCAGAGGAGGCTGGACAACCAAAACCCCTGGACTTTCGAGCGGGTGGTGACCTCCAACATGCTGGGCATGAGGAAGTACCTGAGCCCCTACGACCTGAAGCTCAAGGGACGCTACTGGGGCAAGTTTTTCCTGAAGCACAGAGTGTGAGGAGGGGCTGGATGGGATTCCTTTTGGGATTAAACGTTTCCACAAGAGCCTGGAGTGGGTTTTGGAACTGGGAACGCAGGGGCTGGGGGATAAATGGATCGGGGTTTGAAGCACGAGGCTCTCTATCCTGAAAAGTGAATTTTAAGGCTGGTAGCATCCTGAAGGATCCATGGTTCAGGGTTTGGAGCTGGAAGTGTGGAGCTGTTTGGGGGATAAATGGATCAGGGTTTGAAGCATGAGGCTCTCTATCCTGAAGTGGATTTTAGGGCTGAAAGCATCCTGAGGGACCCATGGATGAGGGTTTGGGGGATGAGGATCTTTATCCCAAGGTGGGGTTTGGAGCTGGGAATGTGGAGCTGGGGGATAAATGGATTGCGGTTTGAACAACATGGCTCTCTAGCCTGAAAAGTGGATTTTAGGGCTGGGAGCATCCTGAAGGACCCATGGATCAGGGTTTGAAGCATGAGGCTCTCTATCCTGAAGTGGAATTTAGGGCTGGGAACATCCTGAGGGACCCACAGATCAGGGTTTGGGGGATGAGGATCTTTATCCCAAGGTGGGATTTGGAGCTGAAGAGGTGGAGTTGTTTGGGAGAAAAATGGATTGGGGTTTGAGGCACTGGGCTTCAAACTCCCAGCCCTAAAATCCACTTCAGGGCTCTCTGTCCTGAAGTGGATTTTAGGGCTGGGAGTATCCTGAGGGACCCATGGATCAGGGTTTGAAGCATGAGGCTCTATCCTGAAGTGGATTTTAGGGCTGGGAACATCCTGAGGGACCCACAGATCAGGGTTTGGGGGATGAGGATCTTTATCCCAAGGTGGGGTTTGGAGCTGGAAGCAGGGAGCTGTTTAGAGGATAAATGGATTGGGGTTTGGAGCACGAGGCTCTCTATCCTGAAGTGGATTTTAGGGCTGGGAACATCCTGAGGCACCCATGGATCAGGGTTTGGGGGATGAGGATCTTTATCCTGAAGTGGATTTTAGGGCTGGGAGCATCCTGAAGGACTCATGGATCAGGGTTTGAAGCACGAGGCTCTCTATCCTGAAGTGGAATTTAGTGCTGGGAGCATCCTGAGGGATCCATGGATCAGGGTTTGGGGGATGAGGGTCTTTATCCCAAGGTGGAGTTTGGAGCTGGAAGCATGGAGCTGGGGGATAAATGGATTGGGGTTTGAAGCACAAGGCTCAATCCTGAAGTGGATTTTAGGGCTGGGAGCATCCTGAGGGACCCATGGATCAGGGTTTGGAGCTGGAAGCATGGAGCTGGGGGATAAATGGATTGGGGTTTGGAGCACGAGGCTCTCTATCCTGAAGTGGAATTTAGGGCTGGGAGCATCCTGGGGGATCCATGGATCAGGGTTTGAAGCATGAGGATCTTTATCCCAAGGTGGGGTTTGGAGGATAAATGGATCAGGGTTTGAAGCATGAGGCTCTATCCTGAAGTGGATTTCAGGGCTGGGAGCATCCTGAGGGACCCACGGATCAGGTCACAGCCAGGAGGCAGAGTGTGGGTGAGCTCTTTATTGAGGAGGAAGGCTCCAGCATGGGTGGCTGCACATCCAAGGAGCTCCAAGCACAGGGAGAGGCTCCTCCGGCCGCCCCGGCAAGGCAGAGCCCTGTGTCCCCCCCCGCGAGGGACACGGCCCCTCCGGCCGCTCCGTGCCACCAGGAGGGGCTGCTTGTCACAGCGGCCACCGACTGTCACCCGAGAGGAGGAGCAGGAGGAGAAGGGGGGTGCTGGGAGGGCAGCAGGGAGTGCAGAGGATGGGCTCCACTCCTCCAGGGACACGTGGGATGTCCTCGGGGATCGGGGCTGGGCCGGGGTCTCTCCCGTGGATCATCCGGGCAGGGGGGCAGGAGGGGGAAAGGCCACCTGTGACAGGGAGGAGGGTGAGATGACACTCAGGAAGGGGACATGGTTCCCAGTGCATCCCCAGGTGAATCCAACCCTGGCGAGGCCCGAACCCATTCCCTGGGATTGGGGGGGTGCCAGGGACCCCCCGTGCCACCCCCAGCCCTGTCCCTGTCACCTGGAGGGCAGCGGGTGGGGGGCTCAGGCGAAGATGCTCCCGATGCTGGATGCCAGGATGATGGCGAGGATGATGCAGCACAACATGATCATGATCTTCTTCTGCTCGGGGACACAGGGAATGTGAGGCAGGGACACGGCTGGGGGGGGGACAGGGACAGGAAACGGGCTGGGGAGGAGGACAGGGGATAAGGATGGGGCTGGGGAGGGGGACAACAAGGATATGGGCTGGGCAGAAGGGAGAAAGGGCAGAGACAGGGCAAAGGACAAGGACAGGGGCTGGGGAGGGTGCAGGGCAGGTGTGAGCTGGTTCTCTGTGGCACAGGGAGGTGACAGTGCCAGCGTGCTCTGGGACAGGTGACCAAACACCGTGACTTACCCAAAAACTTGGGGGGGTGGGGGGGGGACAGTGTGGCCAGGGCCCGGAGCTGGAGGTGTCCCCAGCCCCGCGCCTCCTCCTCGTGTCCTACAGCACCGGGAAGCGGGGCCGGTGCAGCCCCCAGGTCCCCGGGAGCCGAGCCGGAGCCGGGCCGGGCTTTGGGTGCTCCCGCAGCCAGCAGGGAGAGGAGGCGCAGGGCGGGATCGGCGGGATTTTATTACAGCGGGAGTTAAATATCCGTGATAACACATCCTCCCGCCAAACATCAAAGCCAGGAGGGGGCGGGGACAGCTCCGTCTGCCACAGCGCGGTGACAACAATCCACGCTGGTGCCACCAAACCCCGTGTCCTGTCCCCATTCCCGCCCTCATTCCACCGGGATGCCCGCGCGGGTGAGCGTCCGGCTCTCGGATTTGTGTCCTTGTCACCCCTCGCCGCGTCCCCAAGGACGGAATCCTGTCCCCTTCCGTGCGGACATGAGGGGCAGATCCCAGGGAAAGCAGGACGGGCGGGAAAGGCGGCGGTGCTGGAGCCGGCGGCGGGAGCCGGGACACGGAGGGCTGGGAGCAGCAGGTCCGGGAGGAGCAGGGAGAGGAGGGGTCCAGGATCAGAGCCGGGGAGGATCCCGCCGGGAGGTGACACCGCCGGGACGGTCGGGAGCGTCTGGAGGAGGGAAAGGGGAGCTGGAGGAAAGGGAACGGGGACTGCAGCAGGAAGGGGGGAGCGGGGATGGTGGGGAGGAGACAAAATCCAGAGCCTGGAGCAACACGGATCCCCAAAGAACACAGACCCTCAAGCACTGCAGACCCCAAACAGCACAGAGCCCTGAGCACCAGAGATCCCTGAGCATCACAGACACCTGAGCACTGCAGACCCCAAAAAACACAGACCCCAGAGACCCCAAACATTGCAGACCCTCACAGGACACCCCCAGCACCGCAGACCCGAGATCACCAAAGCCAGAAGGCAGCGCCCCCAACCCCAAATCCCAAAGCACTGGAGCCCCCAAAGCAGGAGATGGCACTGGGATCCCCCAGGGCTCTGTGTCCCCGCAGTGGGGGTCCCCTGCCCCCCAACACTTACAGACCCCCGCCCCAGGGGCTATTTCACGTTCAGCCCCACCGAGAGTCCAATGATGAGGGCAACTGTCCCCAGCAAGAGCATGGCCACTGCCACCAAAGCCAGCAGCTTCTGGGGGAACAGGGGCGAGTTGGGGGTGGTGACACCTGTCCCGTGTGGGGGGACACGGGGGCACCGAGGTGCTGCAGAGCCCTGGGGATGGGGCAGGTGGGGCCGAGTCCTCACCAGCTCATCGCACCTGAGGGTGGGAGGGGGCTCAGAGGGGCAGTGGGACAGAGAGGGACAGAGGGACACAGCTCCTCCCATGGAGTCACTGGGGGCAGGTGGGAGTTGTTGGGGTCAGCTGGGGGATAAGAGGGGTGGCTGAGGGGGACAGGAGGTGACTGAGGGAAATAAAGGGGTCTCAGGGCTGCTGGAGGGTATGGGGGATGCTGGGAACACTGGGATGTGAAGGCACAATGAGGGCCAGAGGGGACAACAGTGAGGGTACCTCAGGGATGCTGGGGGCTACAGAGGGGACACTGGGGGCTATGCAGGGGACAAGGGGCTGTCGGTCTGTCTCACCCTCCTGGCCTCACTTTGGTACTTCACAGCCTTTTTGGTGTCAGCCACGGCCCGTTCCACAAATCCCACGGACTGGTCCATGTTGTTCTCTATGCGGTCGATCATGGCTCCCTACGGAGCACCCGGGGGGACACAGAGAGAGGGGGGGACACTGAGAGCACCCCGGGGTGCTGGCACCCACCCACCTGGCACTGGATTGTCTCTGTGCTCTGCTCCACATGCTCGGCTCTGCGTTATCCAGCAGCCCACCCTGGGGGAGAAGGGACAGGTGACACGGTGGGGACACGGTGGGGACACGGTGACGCAGCCCCACAGCACGTGGCAGGCACACACACACAGGTACTCACCCATCCCCGGGGCACACAGCGGTTCCTCGCGTGGCATGGGGGACAGAGAGGGGCTGAGAGAGGGGACAGCACCACCGCAGGCTGGGGGACACTGCTGTGTCCCCTCCAGGCCACCACGGGGTGGTGGGTGGCTCCATGGGAACACGTGCAGTGGTCACACCCCAGCCCATATTGCTCCATGCCTGGACCCCCCTGTGCGGGTCCCTGGGCCACTCCATGGTCCTGTGCAGGTCCCTGTGACCCCCCACTCGGGTCCCTGCTTGTCCCTGGTCACCCTGTGCACAGGTCCCTGTGTGTCCCTGTGACCCTGTGCCCAAATCCCTCATGGCTCACATCCATGTCCCCATACACAACGGGGTCATCCCTGTGACCCCATTCCCAGGTTCCTGCTTGTCCCCATGCTCAGGTCCCTGTTCACACTGCCCACAGGTCCCTGCTCATCTCTGTGCCCCCATACCCAGGTCCCTGCCTGTCCCTGTGACCCCATGCCCAGGTCTTCACTTGTCCCCATGTCCCCACAGCCAGGTCCCTGCCCGTCCCTGTGTCCCCCTGGCCAGGTCCCTGCCTGTCCCTGTGTCCCCACACCCGGGTCACTGTGTATTCCTGTGTCCCTGTGGCCAGGTTGCTGCCTGTCCCTGTGACCCTATGTCCAGGTCTCCGCTTGTCCCCGTGTCCCCACGGCCGGGTTGCTGTGTGTCCCTGTGTCCCCACGGTGAGGTTGCTGCCTGTCTCTGGGTCCCCATGGCCAGGTCCCTGTTCACACTGCCCACAGGCCCCTGTTCATCTCTGTGTCCCCATGGCCAGGTCCCTGCGTGTCCCTGTGTCTCCATACCCAGGTCCCTGCATGTCCCTGTGTCTCCATGGCTGGATCATTGCATGTCCCCATGTCCCAGTGGCCAGGTCCCTGCATGTCCCTGTGTCCCCACGGCCGGGTCCCTGCATGTCCCTGTGTCCCGATGTCCCCACGGCCAGGTCCCTGCATGTCCCTGTGTCCCCACGGCTGGGTCCCTGCATGTCCCCGTGTCCCCATGGCCAGGCCCCTGCATGTCCCCGTACCTGGTTCTCCACCAGCATGGCGATGTCCACGAACATGTCGTGGAGCTCCTTGATGCTGCTCTCCAGGCGCACGATGTCCTTGTGCCGCCCCTCGATCTCGCTCAGCGCCTGCTTCGAGATCTGCGAGTCCATGATCTGCAGGGACAGGGACAGGGACATGTCAATGGGGAGGCCTGGCCCTGGGACAACCCCCCGCGTCCCCTGGTGTCCCCCACGTCAGGGCTCACCCCCGAGGTGAAGATGGAGGGGTTCCCACTCTCCAGCATCTCCTCCAGCTCCTCGTCCGTGGTGTTCTTGCCGGCTGCGGGCACGTGGGGAGAGGTGGGAAATAAGGGGCGGGGTCTGTATGGTCTGGCTCCTCCCACTTGACTAAACTTGGTCAAATGGGAGGGGCCTGTGTGGTTTGGCTCCTCCCACTCTAGGAGGAGGTGGGGTTTGATGCCGGGGTCGCTCACTGATTTCCAGTTGGCGCTGGATCCGGCCCTTGCTCCGCTCCCGGAAATCCACCTGCGCCTCATTGTACTTGGTCATGACATCCACGAACTTGCGGGACAGCACCGAGTGCTGGGGACAGGGACAGGGGCGTGAGGGTGGGGACAGGGACACCCAGGGCATGGTGTGACACTGAGGGACTGGACCTGGTCCTGGGGACGGGGATATGGAACACCCCAGGCATGGCATATCCCCATGGATATGTCTCACAGGGGACAGGAGCAAGGACAGAGGTGTGACACTGCCCAGGGGACAAGATGAGGGGCTGAGGTGGGGATGGGAAGTCACATCAGTGACACTCCGGGCATGGCGTGTTCCTGGTCCCAGCATGGACAGGAAAATGCGCTGGGAGTGGGGACAGTGGCATGAGACCAGGGGACCCTGGATGTGGCATGTCTCAGCACAGGGTGACAGGACAGAGGGTTGGGGACAGGGCAGAGGGACACAAAGGCTGGCATCACTGAGTGCTGTTGGGGACCCCTGGATATGCCCCATCCCCAGCCCGCAGGGGACAGGGTGGGACCTGGGGACACTGGATGGAGCTCACCTGGGACTTGCGTATCCGGAGGTCAGCGGAGGATCGTGCCTCGTCCTGCTCGATGTTCCTCTCCATGCCTGGAGAGAGACAGACCTCAGCCCACCAGGAACCTTTCCCACTGCCAGCCCCCATGGTCCCAGAGTGCCAGGGGGACAGGGACACCCGTGACACGGTGGTGGGGACAGGGCCACTCACTCTTCAGCTTGTTACGGACGCTGTTGGCCATTTTCTTGATGTCTGTCGTCAGCTGCTCCAGGTCATCTTTGGTCTCTGCGGGATCACGGGTGTGAGCCACCGTGGGGATGTCCCCAGGGAGGGTCCCTGTGGCCAGGGGAGGCCGTGGGGACACTGTGACAGCACTCACTCTGCTCTGGGATGGGGGCTGAGAGGATGATGCTGTAGAGCTTCTTGGCTTCCTCCACGTTCTCCGAGATCTTGTCGATGTTCTGCCGGGTCTCCTCAATCTGGGCACACCCGGGAGGATTTTGGGGGGTTAGGAGGCAGCCCTACACCCCCCAGCCCCGCTCCCAGCCCTCCCTCACCTCCGAGAAGAACTCATCCATGAAGGCCGTGTTGTCCACAGCGATCTCCAGCTCCTCCTCATCGTCTGCATCCTGCTTCTGTAGGGACACAGCGCTCAGGGGGGACCCTGTGCCCTGCCAGCACCCCCAGATCACCCCCGGGGGTGACAGGGGCACGGGGGGAGCAGCCATGGGGTTGTGGTGGCACAGGGGGGGACATCTGCAGCGGGGGAGAGCAGGGGGGGCCGAGCCCAGCTCACATCTGGCCACACGTGGCTGGGAATTAAGGGATTGCTGGGCTCGGCCAGAGGGAGGGAACGGGGACAGCGATGGCATGGGGACAGGACAGGGTTTATGTCCCAAACCGTGGCCCCATGGCAGCTCTGGGGCAGTCCTGGGGGGCACGAAGGTGGCTGCTGCCCCTCACCCTGGTGTGGTGCCCAGGCCCCCACCCGTGTGCTCCCAAATCCAGCCCTTCCCAAAACTCAGCCTCAGCCCTTCTGCCTCCCCTCGCCCCCTCAGCTCCACCAGCACCCCGGGGGTGTTGTTGGGGTGTCCTGGAGACGGGGACAGACCCCAGGCTGGGACCCCTCACCCCCCTCCTCCTGCTGCTGGAGTAAAAATAAAATTAATCCCTTCACTCCCCCCGAAGGCTTTATCTACTGGCTCCATAATCCCGGTAAATCCCTGCCAAGCCTCCCTGCCATGCCCAGGGGCCCGGCCCGGAGCTGGGGGCCTGCTGGGACCCCCACGGCCCGTGGGGAGCAGGGGGAGCCCCCCAGGAGTGCCCGGGGGGAAGTGGGGCCCCAGGCGGAGCGGGAAAAGGGAGAAGGAAGCGGCAATGGTGGCGGGAACACGGGGACGTGTGGGGCGCACGGTGGGGAAGTGTGGGGGGCACAGTGGGGTGTGGGCACCCCAAATCCACCACCATCCCCGTGGGATGGACACCCCACACAGGCCAGGGGGTGCGCCCCATAGTGTGGGGGGACAGGACTCGGCTGAGGAGGTCATGTCACCCCAAAACACCCACTGTGCCCCCAAACCTCTCAGGGATGGCACCCCAGCCCCTCCCAGCCGAGACCCCCGTTGGAGGCAGGCTCAGGGTCCCCCACCTGCCATAGGGTCACCACCGTGACACCCCACGCACACCGGGGTGGGGTCTCGGTGCCATCCCCCCGTGGTGTCCCCACCCACCCACCATGGACTGGGGTGTCCCTGAGACCCCAGCCCACCACGGAATGGGGCCTGAGCTCCCCCATCCCCATGACACCCCCAGCATCGTGGGGTGGCATTTCGGTGACATCCACCCCGTGATGTCCCCACCCACCCCAGACCCGGTTTTTGGGGCCCCCTCTCCCCGCGATGCCCCGGCCCACCATGGGGTGGGGTCTCGGGGACCCCCATCCCGGTGCCACCCTTTTCCTGAGGGTCCCCCTGGGGGTGTCCCCTGTGCCCTGCCCCCCCTGGGGTCCCTCACCGCCTTGAGCTGCTCCAGCCGGTCCTTCATGGTGCCCCCGGCGGCTGGGGGGGCGCGGGGGGGTCCCCGTGCTCGCCCAGCGCAGGGATGGGCGGTGTCACCCTCGCTCCTCGCCGCTCGGCCGGGCCTCCTACATCCAGGCGAGGTGCCGGGTGGCCCTGTCCCCTGTGCCTGTGGCCAAGCCCGGGGCTGTCCCTGCGCTAATCCCCAGTGACGGGCGCGGGGAAGGCGCCGAGGGAGGGAGGGACGAGCTGGAGCCGCCCCTTCACCTGGGACACGCGGGGACAGCGGCGCCGCTGCGGGCGGCGACTGGGGGCGGCCCCCGGGCCCCCCGGGAGGTGACGGAGGTGGGCTGGGGTGTGGGTGTGGAGGCCATGAGGAAGCTGGTCCCCCTCGGGGGTCACACGGTGAGGACGTGTCACCCCCTGCCACGTGTGGCTGCCGCGGGAGCATGGCTGGGGACACGGAACACGGCTGGAAACACGGCTGGGGAGAGGGAGCACGGCTGGGGACGCGGCTGGGGACACGGCTGTGGGTGTGGGTCACAGCTGGGGACATGGCTGGGTTCGGGGCACACGGCTTAGGGGGACGGGGCTGTGGATAGGAGTCACATCTGGGGACGCAGCTGTGGATTCGGGACACGGCTGGGGGACGCGGCTGGGCATGAGTCGGCACAGGGGACGGCTTGGGGACATGGCTGCAGTTAGGGGACACAACTGAGGGTCGTGCCTGGGGACAGGAGTCCCGACACGGCTGGGGACAGGGGACACGGGTGGGGGACATGGCTGGGGATGGGACACAGCTGGGGACAGGGCTGGGCGGGCAGTGCTGCGGCTGTGGACGGGGTGGCATTGGCTGTGGACGGGGTGGCATTGGCTGTGGATGGGGTGACACTGGGGGTCACGGCTGCGGGCGGGGCCATACGGGCGTCACCGCTGTGAGCGGGAGAAAAAGGGACGCTGCCCCTTTAAGAAATATACACGGGTGGGCGTGGTCTATATTGGGCGTGGTCTTTGGCGGTCCCGCCCCCACGCGCGCACCGGGCGGGTGGGACACGGGGCGGTGGCGGCGGATGACGTCATGCGGCTGCGCCCGCGGTGGCGCATGCGCGGCGGGGCCCGAGGCCTGGTCGGGCGGCGCGGAGCCTGCGGGCGGGGGGCGCCGGCGCCGCCATGTTCCGGTACCCGGTGAGCAGGGAGGGGCCGGGAGGGGCCGGGGGGGGCCGGGGCGGGCGGGGCCCCGCGGGGCCTGCGGGAGAATCCTGCCGGGACGGCACCGGGGCGGTGTAACGGGGTGGGGGGGGCATAACGGGCTGGGGCGGGGGAAGTGAAATGAGTTGGGGAGGGCGGCCACTGAGGGGGTCTGAGGGGCTGGGAGGGGGCTCCAGGGTGGCACAAGGAGTCTGGGGGACACTGGGGACCTGGAACGGGCTGGGGGAGCGTATAACGGGAGGGGTCACTCTCTAGGTGTGGAGGGTCATTGGGGTGATGTAATGGCTTGGGGGAGTCACTGCATAGGAATAATGGGTTGGGGGGATTCCCAGGGGTGGATAATGGGGCTGGGGGGGGGTATCGCTGTTTGAGGGGATGTATTGTATAGGTATAATGGGTTGGGAGGTCATCAGGGAGGTCCAGTGGGGCTGACCCCGTTCCTGGCTGTCCCAGTCCCTGGAGGATTGCCCGCTGGACGAGGATGAAGATGCCTTCCAGGCCCTGGGGGAGGAGGATGAAGACATCGACCAGTTCAACGATGACACCTTCGGGGCCGGTGCCGTCGGTGAGACCCCGAGTGTCACCCCCAGAGCTCCCTGACCCCGCAGGTGCCCCCTGCCCACGGCCCTCACCATGTGCCCCCTCGCAGATGACGACTGGCAGGAGGCCCACGAGCGGCTGGCGGAGCTGGAGGACAAGGCCGGGTCGAGCCGGGAACCCGACGGTCCCGTTGGCAACGACGGGGACGTCCTGGGCGACCCCGAGGACGCGCTGGCCGAGCGGCTGACGCGCCTCGTCATCGACAGCGAGCTGGAGGACCCGGCCATCATGCAGGCCGTGCACACCAGGGATCCCCCGCAGGTGGGAGCGGGCTGGGGGATCTGGGGGGATGTGGGGATGGATCCCACAGCGCTGTTCTGACTCTCCCTGTGCTCTGCAGCAGCCTGGAGGGCTCAATTCCAGCATCTGGGACAGCTCAGCCGTGCTGCGGCGCATCCGGGGGCCGCTCCTCACTCAGGTAGGGTGCTGGGGGCAGGGGGCTCTTCCCTGCTGGTCCCAAACGCCTGTGGCAGCCAGCTGGGTGGGATAGACTGGTCCTGGGATCGTGGAGTGTCCTGCTTCCCTTCTCTGTGTCTGTGGCTTGTGGGGGACCCTCAGAGCTGTCCCCCCTCAGACCCTGGAGGGCTGGGATGATGGAGTTCGGCTGTTCTGGGATGCCTGGTGATGTCTGAGGGATTTCAGGGCTCCCGGCAGGATTTGGGAATGTTGATGCCTGGAGGCAGAGGATTTTTGTGTTGTTGTGGTTTCATTAAGAGTCATGCTTTGAAGTGCTGCGTGTCCAACCCTCTGCTGGCTCTGCCGGGCTGGGAGGTGACCCAGCATTCCCTCCCCACGCCCTGTTATCCCAGACGGGATGCGCTCGGCAGTCTGGGTGCTCCGGGAGCGCCCAGCCTTGTGTGGAGATCCCAGGGAAGCACAGTGGGGGTGGAGAGCTGACAGGGGGAAGGGGGGACACTGACCCTCATCTGTCCCAGCCTGTGGCTCCACAGGGGTGTCCCTCCCGTTGTCCTGCAGGAGATGCCCGCGGTGTCCGTGCTGGACTATGCCCTGCCCCAGCGGCCTCCGCAGGCTCGGGATGAGGAGCGGGATCCCTCGGAGCGGGCGCTGCCCCGGCGCTCCTCCTCCCCCATCATCGGGAGCCCCCCTGTCCGGGCCATTCCCATCGGCACCCCCCCCAAACAGGCCGCCATCCCCAACTTCAACCAGCAGGTATCTCCTCGCTTCCCAGCTTCCCACTGCTCCCAAGGGTGCGAGCTGCTTCCCAGGGGGAGTGACTGTGCCGCTTGTCTCCCCCCAGATCCTGTGTCCCAAGCCTGTCCACATCCGAGCTACCATGCAGCAGCGTTATCCCGCTCCCTATGGAGAGAGGATGTCCCCCAACCAGCTCTGCAATGTTCCGGTATCCAGCTTTCCCTCCTCCATCTCTTTGGGGATTGATGACCAGCCCTTCCAAAACCTCCCTGTGTTCCTGTGGCTCATCCCCACCCCATGGAGCTTGGCCATCCTGGGGTTTGTCCCATCTGTCAGTCGTGGTCTGTGACTGGGGTCCCTTTTCCCAACTCTTTCCCCAGAATTCCTCCCTCCTGGGCCACCCGTTCCCCCACAGCGTCTCTCCCGTCCTCACACACCTGCAGAGAGCCCAGCTGCTCGGAGGAGCCCAGGTAAAGCTCCTTCCTGTGCTTTATCCCACCTATCTCTCTGCGTGGCTCCGGGACCTGGTGCTCCGTGCCTCTTGCCGGCCATCCCAGATCCTTTTCCTGCCTGGCTGACTCCAGGTGTCCTCTGTGCCCCGCAGGCCGGCCGAATGTCCCCCAGCCAGTTTGCCCGCGTGTCCGGGCTGGTGGGGAGCCCGCTGCCCTCGGTGAACCCCAAGCTGCTGCAGGGCAGAGTTGGGCAGATGATGTCCCCGGCCGGAGGGTTCCGTGCCTTTTTCGGGGCTCCCCCCGCCCCGCCCCCCTCGCAGCTGCCGCACCCTCCGGGCCCCGGATCCCACCTGCAGAACCTGAGGTCGGTGCTGTCCCTGTCCCGGCGTCCCAGCCACTCCCTGCGTCCCTCCCTGACCGTTCCCGCCCTCCCCAGGCCTCAGCCCCAGATGTTCCGGCCGGACACGACCCACCTGCACCCGCAGCACCGGCGGCTCCTGCACCAGCGGCAGCAGCAGAACCGCAAGTGAGTGCGGGCACGGGGCCGGGGCCGCGCGGCACGGGGACGTGTCCTGCTTCCGGGGTCACCTGTCCCCCCTCTCTGTCCCTTCCTGTAGCTCCGGTGTGCTCACGGGTGCCCTTCTTCTCCTGCCAGCCAGCACCGGAGCCTCAACGGCTCCGGGGGGGACCGAGGGGGCCACCGGAGCAACCATCAGGAGCAGATCCGTAAGGATCCCTACGCCAACCTCATGCTGCAGCGGGAGAAGGACTGGGTGTCCAAGATCCAGATGATGCAGCTGCAGAGCACTGATCCCTACCTGGATGATTATTATTATCAGGTACTCGGGGCAGCACCTTCCCCCTGGCCATTGGAGATTGGGTGGGAAGGGAATGTCAATCCAGGAGGAAGTGCAGTGGGTTGTTTTCCTCCCTGGAAGAGGAAGGCGGAGGGACAGGGTGGGATCAGCATCCCTGGGATGAGCCGACTCCTTTTTGGCTGAGATTCCAGGAGTGAGATGTTGGGGTGCACCGGTTTCATAGGTCTGGGAGAACAGGAAAGCAGCTCCTCTCCATTGGAAGTGTGACAGATCCAGGATAAAACCCCTGGAATGAGACGAAGGAGATGCTAAATGGAAAACTCAAGAGAGATCCTTGTCAGGGAAAGGCTGACTCTGGTCTGACTGGGAATGGTGATGGGGAACCCTGTGGGAGTCCAAGCAGTGCAGTGGAGAAGGTGGATAGGGAGGGATTGCTCCTGCTTTTTTCCATTTCAGGAATAGGGAATGTCAGACAGTGCTGGGAAAAGTCAGACTTGGAGCAGACGGAGCAAGGTGAACTGTTTGAGGATCCCCAGGGAGAGAAGGAAATGTCTGGGATGGACATTGGGAGACTGAATGGGGTGGGAGAGCTCTGGCGCCTCTCCTGAGCCGGCAGAGTTTTTTTGGGATCTGTGGGTGAGCTGGTCCCAGTAGAGAAGAGGAACTGGTGCAGGATGTGAGTCAGCAAAGCTCTGCCATTGCAAAACGGGGTGGATGGGGTGGGGAGGTCCTGGCATGGTGCCAGTGGAGCAAGGCAGGCTAACTGGGATGTGCTGGAAAGGACTGGGAACCTCACAAGGAGAATGGATTTGTCATTGTCGTGAGAGAGGGCTGAGGAGGAGCCTTGACCTCTGTCATCCTGAGGGATGGGAGAGGAGGAGGGACTCAGCTGTGGCTTAAATGATGATGTTGAGAAGATGATGGAGCTGAGGACAGGGAGATTGCCAATGGTTTTTTGGGAGAAGGCACTCAACATTTCCTCTCCCTGCCTCAGAATTACTTCCAGAAGCTGGAGAAGTTGGCAGCAGCCGAGGAAGTGCACGGTGACGGCCCCAAGAAGGAGCGCACTAAACTCATCACCCCTCAGGTGGCCAAGCTGGAGCACACCTACAAGCCAGGTAAAGCCCTCCAGCAGCCCCAGGGCTCCTTTTACCCAGGGATTGAGGGAACTCATCCCTTGGCTTCCTTGCTCTCTCCTTCCTGCAGTGCAGTTTGAGGGCTCGCTGGGAAAGCTCACCGTCTCCAGTGTCAACAACCCCCGGAAGATGATCGACGCCGTGGTGACGTCCCGCAGCGAGGATGATGTGAGTTCCTCCTGGCCTTCCTCCCTTCCAACAGCCCTGTGGCTGCTTCCCACAGCCCTGATTCCCTCTTCTATCCCTGTCAGGAGACGAAGGAGAAGCAGGTTCGGGATAAGAGGCGACAGACGCTCGTCACCATTGAGAAGGTGAGTTTAAGGGGGATCGTCCCGACTCTCAGAGGTCCATGGTGGGATCAAAAGTGGGCCAGCCCCACCCATTCCATGGTTCCTTGAGTGATCCATGCTTCCTGCAGACGTACAGCCTCCTCCTGGACGTGGAGGACTACGAGCGCCGCTACCTCCTGAGCCTGGAAGGGGAGCGGCCAGCCCTGATGGAGGAGAGGAAGCAGAAGATCTGTGACATGTACGACAATCTGAGGGGGAAGGCACCTGGGCAGGACAGGTGAGCGGGATTTGGGAGCTCCAGCACTCTGGGATCACTGAAACCAGTTTTCCATGGATCTGTTTGGCTCTGCAGGAGGATGAAGTAACCTTTTTTAGCCATTTTGCCCTCACTGTGGTTACAAAGTTACAACTTCCATCCTCTCCCTCTGGCGGAGTTGAGGATTAGGGATATCTTTCCCATGTAGTTTTTCCCACCTCAGAGATGTTTTTTCAGGCATGGGTGTGTTTTCCACCTGGTGCTGGGGCAGATCCAGCCATGGGATAGCCCTGGGATGCTCCCAGGTGAGGGTTGACACCTTTCTCCCTCCCTCTCTGCTCAGGCCGAGCGATGACCACTTCATGCAGATCATGTGCATCCGGAAAGGAAAGCGCCTGGTGGCCCGGATCCTGCCCTTCCTGGCTCCAGAGCAAGCGGCCGACGTGCTCATGGCCACGGCCAGGAACCTGCCCTTCCTCATCAAGAAGGATGCTCAGGATGAGGTGAGCTTCCAGAGGCTGGGAGGGCTCTGTGTGTCTTCAGGGTGGCATTCCTGCCTTTCCTAGGAGGGTGCCAGAGGTTTGGAGAGAGAAGCTGTTTGCAATTCCAGCCAGGCACAGGGAAAGGTGAGCAGCTCCCAATTGTGTTCCTTTCTCCACAGGTGCTTCCCTGCCTCTTGAGGCCCTTTTCCCACGTCCTCTACCACCTTCCCTTGGGAACAGTCACCAGCCTTGTGCAGCAGCTCACCAACCTACCTCAGAGCGCCGCCGCTCCCACCAACCTGCACCTCACTGCTGTGCTCCAAAACAAGGTGCTCCTCATTCCCGCCCCTTCCCAGCCTTGGGAATTGCTCCAGCAGCCTCTCAGCACTGGGGTGTTCTCCTTGGTAGTTAATGAGGGTGTCTGGCGCATTAATTAACGGTCTGGGGTGGCCCCGGGCTCTGCTTCAGCCTGGCAGCAGCTTCTGGGTCTGTCCTGCTGTGCTCCATGCTCCAGTCCTGGAATTTGGGGTGGGAATGTTGCTCCAGTAAATCCCTCCTGGGCTGGGAGTGCTCTGTGGTCCTTTCTTCCTCCTCCTGCAAAGGCAGGCAGGGATCTTCCTGCTAATGCCAGAAGGGTTGGGAAGCGTTGGGGATTCCCTGGTTCTCTCAAGGAATGCTTGGAGGTGACAGATCCCCTCCCTGTCCCCACAGTTTGGTCTGTCCCTGCTGTACCTGGTCTTGAGCCGAGGGGAGGAATTGCAGAGCTCGGACACAAACACAGAGCTGATGCAGGACAACCAATGGTAACTCCCTGTCCCGGGCTGGGATGCTCCTGCCTGGACTGTCACCACATTCCCAAGCCCCTTGGGGTGGCAAAGGCACCCTCCATGCTCCTGGAGCCCCCACACCTCTCACTGCTCCCTCCTCCCTCCCGTTTTCCCGGCAGGACGGAGCTGATGCTGATGGCGACCCGGGAGCTGCTGCGGATCCCTCAGGGAGCCTTGGCAAAGCCCGTGTCCATCCCCTCCAACCTGATCTCCCTCTTCTCTCGCTACGTTGACCAGCAGAAGCTGAACCTGCTGGAGACGAAATTGCAGTGAGTGCCAGCCTTCTATTCCATGGGAATGTGGCCCTGTGCCACCAGGGGACTGGGAGAAGGGGGAAACCTGAGGTGGGGGTGCAGCTGGAGAGGGATTGGAGTGGGGAGGAGCAGCTTGGGGAGAAGGGAATTGCTGCCTCCCTCTGATCCCACCACTCATGTTCCCTGCTTCCAGCTTAGTGCAGGGGATCCGGTAGATCTCCGTGGCTCCTCGCCACCACTGGAATGTTCCAGAGGAAGGATGGAAGGAAGGAAGGATGGAGGGCACACGGTTCACCCCACACCTCCCCCGACGCCTGGCCTGGCACATGGGGCGCATCCGCCTCCCAATCCCTGGATCAGCAGGAAGAGGGGGATGTTTGGCTGCTCCCCCCTTTCCCACAAAGTGCTGCCTTTCCCTGCTGCTCCCAATTTCCCCACGACTCCCTCTGCACCCCCAGAAACTGCTGCTTCCCCCCAAACACACACACACACCCCCACACCCACACACACTACTGAGGATCCCGGGGAGCGGGGAGCCCCTCGCTCCACATCCACGGCCAGGGGTTCTCCGCTCATTCCCTGCTCCTTCTGCAGCCCTTCCCACAAGCACTGAGCTCTGCTTCCTGCCCTTTCCCACACTTCACACACTTATTTCGCACACTCGCCTCGTCTTCCCAAAATTCGGCTCCTTCCCTCCCCCCGGGATCAGCCCAGCAGCTCCGGGGTGGGGGGCACAGCCGGGTCTCTGTCCCCTCCGGATCAGATCCGGGTGGCTTCAGCTGTGCTGCTCCTCGGGAAGGTGGTGGTGGTGGTTGGGGGATAAATTTAAATTTTTTTTTTTTTTTTTTTTTTTTTTTTTTTTTTGCTTTTAAAAAGAAAAAAAAAAAAACCAAGAGATTTGCACATGTAGGGATTTTACACCCCAGAATTCCTCCTGGCGTTAACCAGCCCCTTCCTGTGCTCCCAGCCCTTTCCCTGTCCTTTTTCTCTGACAGATCAAGTGGAAAGTTCATTTATGATTTTTATTTTATTTTATTGCTTTTTTCCCTGCTTTTTTGTTTGGTTTTTTTTCTTTTTTTTTTTTTTTTTTTGGTTTTTCCCCCTCTTTTTTGCTTTTTTTCTTATTTCATTTGCTTGCAGTAATTTTTTTGTTTGTTTTTTCTTTCCTTCCCCATCCCTCCCAGTTTTCGGTTCTGGTTAATGAGAATAAAGTTTCTAAATTTACATTTTTATAGGGTATTGTAAATAAAGATGAATTGTATACGGCTGCCAGCCTGGCCTCTCCTTCTCTGGGCCCTGCCACCCCCTGCGCGACCCAGCCGTGTCCCCGCGGTGTCCCCGCTCTGTCCCCTGGCTGGTCTTGAACCCTCGAACCCCAGGAGTTCCTCCGTGGGCAGCGGGCAGGGGGCGTGGTTACGACTCAGCCAATGGCAACGCGCCTGGTGCGAAGCCCCGCCCCTCCGCCAATCACTGGCGTGTGACTCACCTCTCGGCGTCAGCACGCGCGGCGCGCCGCTCTCACCTCCCATTGGCTCCCTACCTGATTGACGGCCGAGGGGTCCGCTCTCGACCAATCGCAGCTCGCGAACCGCCCCGCCGGCGCCCGGGCCGCCAATGGGGCCCGGACGTGGGCGGGGCGAGTGACGGCAACGCGGCGGGGCGGTGGCGGCGGCGGCGGCGATGGCGGAGCTGCGTGCGGCGGGCGCGGGGCCCGGCCCGGCCGCGCCCCCCGGGCCCGCGGCGCTGCCCGCGGCCCCCGGCGCGCCCCCGGCCCTGCCCTCACCGGCGGCGAGCGTCGGGGCGGCGCCCGCACCGACGGCGGCGCCGGCGGCACCGACAGCGTCGGCGGGCGGCGGAGCCGGCGCGGGCGGCGGCGGGGCCGGTCCCGGCTCGGCCCGCGAGGGTTGGCTCTTCAAATGGACCAACTACATCAAGGGATACCAGCGCCGCTGGTTCGTGCTTAGCAATGGGCTGCTCAGCTACTACCGGTACGCACCGGGAGCCGCCCCGCCGCCCCCCGGGCCCCCCGTGACCTTGGCGCCGGGCTGAGCCCCCGCGACGGGAGGGAAGCGGGTGTGGGCCCCCCGCACCGAGCGGGGCAGCGCTCCGTGCCCCGGTGCCAGCTGGGAAGGAGGGCGGCTGTCACCTCCCTGTCCCCACGGTTGTCACCTCCGTGACACCGGGGCTGCTCTTGCCGGGGGAGGGGGTCTTTAGCCCACTCCCGGCCGCCGGTCCGTGCCAGCAGGAGCGGGGGGCGGTTGTCACATCCCTGTCCCCGTGGTTGTCACCTGTCTGTCCCCGGGATTGTCACATCCCTGTCCCCGTGGGTATTTGGGGGCGGAGGGCTGCAGCCCCTCAGCCTCCCGCAGCTCCCGGTCCCGCTGTCCCTCCCAGCCGCTCTTCCCGGTGGCCTCGTGTGTTTTCACCCGCGGGACACCTGAGCCGGGCCGGGGGGGCCTTGTCCCTCCATTATTGATGGGGAACCGGAGCCTCGGGCAGCTGCCGGCTCCGGTTACACCGCGGCCAACGCGGGGGCGCCGGGCCGGGGGTGTCCCGGCTGGATGTCACCTCTGTCACCCGGTGACGTGGAAGGGGAGTGCCAGCCTGGCGCGGCCTCGCTGGGACTTCACCCTCGTCCCAGCCCGTGCCAGGATCCGGGAAGCGCCGGATCCCTGAGGCTCCAGGATCCCCGAGGCCACTCCTGGGCGCTGTGGATTTGTCCCCCCAAAGCGACATCCCCAGGCTTGGCCCCGCTCCGGCGCCAGCACACCCTCCCTATTAATAGCCCTGGCTGCCGGGCTGGGAATGCCGGGCTGGGAATGCCGAGCCCCCTGCACAACCCCCAGGGCTCATCCCGGGGATCCCGGGCCTGTCCTTCCCTCAGCATGGCCTCATCCCAGGGATCCCAGCCTTGTTCTTCCCTCAGCACAGCCTTGTCCTGGGGATCCCAGCCCTGTCCTTCCCTCACTGTGGTGTCATCCCAGGGATCCCAGCCTTGTTCTTCCCTCAGCACAGCCTTGTCCTGGGGATCCCAGCCCTGTCCTTCCCTCAGCACAGCCTCATCCCAGCGATCCCAGCCCTGTCCTTCTCTCACTGGGGCCTCATCCCGGGGATCCCAGCCTTGTTCTTCCCTCAGCACAGCCTTGTCCTGGGGATCCCAGCCCTGTCCTTCCCTCATGCAGCCTCATCCCGGGGATCCCAGCCCTGTCCTTCCCTCAGCACAGCTTTGTCCTGGGGATCTCAGCCCCATCATTCCCTCATTGTGTCCTTCCCCTGCAGATCCAAGGCGGAGATGGGCCACACGTGCCGCGGCACCATCAACCTGGCCACGGCCAACATCAGCGTGGAGGATTCCTGCAATTTCATCATCTCCAACGGCGGAGCCCAGACCTACCACCTCAAGGCCAGCTCCGAGGTGGAGCGGCAGCGCTGGGTCACCGCCCTCGAACTCGCCAAGGCCAAGGCTGTCAAGATGCTGGAGGAGTCAGGTATGGATTTCCTGGATCCATGGCGGGGTCAGGGCGCACTCAGGGTGAAATCTCAGTGCCTGACAGTGCCCAGAGCAGGGTCAGTGTCCTCAGAGTGGGATCCCAGTGCCAGCTTCCCAGAGCCCCACAGGTGGCAAGAATCTCAGGGCAGGATCCCAGTGCTTGGAAGACTCGGGGCAGGATATTAGTGTTCCACAGCATCCCAGTGTTCCCAGGACAGAATCCCAGTGCCTCACAGGACTGAGGGCAGGATCCCAATGCCCAGAGAGAAGGATCCAAGCCCCACAGGGCACAGGATCACAGTGACCCCAGGACAAGATCACAGGGCAGGATCACCCAGCAGTATCAATGCCCTTAGGGCAGCCTTTGAGTTTCTCACAAACTCAGTGCCCCCAGGGCAGGTTCCCAGGGTCCCACAGGACCTAGGGCAGGATCCCAGGGCCCTGGGCAGCATCCCAGCATCTCCAGCAAGAAGGTTTGGAAGGGGATGGCCATGTCCATGCATATGTGACCCAAACCGCCCGGCATGCACAGAGATGGACCATCAGACCTCAGGGCTTTGGGGATCCCCTGTGCCCTTCCTGGCAGCCCCACCACCAGCTCCTGGTGTGACATGACAATCCCGTTTTCCTGGTCCCTTCCCGCCTGCAGATGACTCCGGCGACGAGTCGGTGTCGCAGACGGACAAGACGGAGCTGCAGAACACCCTGAAGATTTTATCCAGCAAGGTGGAGGACCTGAGCACCTGCAACGACCTGATCGCCAAGCACGGCACGGCCCTGCAGCGCTCCCTCAGCGAGCTCGAGGCCCTGCGGCTCCCCCCGGAGAGCACGGACAAGATCAAGCAGGTCAACGAGCGGGCCACGCTCTTCCGCATCACCTCCAACGCCATGATCAACGTGAGTCCCCATCCTAGGGATCCCAGAGTGGGAAAACTCCCCATTTCCATGCTGAGCACGGTTTCCCCGCAGGCCTGCCGGGATTTCATGCTCCTCGCACAAACGCACGGGAAGAAGTGGCAGAAGTCGCTGCAGCAGGAGCGGGACCAGCGGATCCGGCTGGAGGAGACGCTGGAGCAGCTGGCCAAGCAGCACAACCACCTGGAAAGGGCTTTCCGGGGGGCCACGGTGCTCCCCGCCAGCACGCCCGGCACTGCAGGCTCTGGAAAAGGTGGGGAGGGACAAGTGATGTGCCCAAGTGTCTCCCAGATGATTCCCGGGATTTCCCGAGCTAGGCTCAGCTTCTCTCACTGTGCTGATCCCAAGGGATTTGTCTGTCCCAGCTCATCTGTGTGGCCAAGTGATTCTGGCATCCCCAGCAGGGTCCAAACTGGCTCCTCTGAGCCTTATCTGACACCCCTCAAGGCTGGGGTGGGGATGATGGTGACAGGGGAGCCTTCAGCAAGAAACTGGGAATGATGTTCCTTCCTCACCAGCCCCGTCCCCTTTCCCAGATCTGTGCTGCCCTGCCAAAGGCGACCTGAGTGACGAGGACGACGACAACAACGAGTTCTTTGATGCCCCTGAGATCTTCCCCATGCCCGATGTCATGGGCCACAAGTGAGTTCTGGGGGAAAGGGGAATCCCCTCGCTGCTCTGCCCTGCTCGGAAATGCTCACCCCCTTTCCCCCTTCCCAGGAGAACTGGGAGCAACATCAGCGGCACCAGCAGTGACATCAGCCTGGATGAGCAGGTGGGATGGGGTTTTATGGCTTGGGGCTGCCCAAATTCCCATGGAAGGGTTTTGTGGGGTCACAGGGATATAACAGCCTTTGCCTCCCGTCTCCCTAGTACAAGCACCAGGTTGAGGACACCAAGAAGGAAAAGAGAACCCGCATTCCGTACAAACCCAACTACAGCCTCAACCTCTGGAGCATCATGAAGAACTGCATCGGGAAGGAGCTGTCCAAGATTCCCATGCCAGTGAGCGCAGATGCAGCGGGTGGGTGGGCACAGGGCACCCCAGAACCCCCTTTTTTTGACCCATTTCCTCCTCCAGGTGAATTTCAACGAGCCGCTGTCCATGCTGCAGCGGCTGACGGAGGACCTGGAGTACCACGAGCTGCTGGATCGGGCGGCGCGGTGCGAGAGCTCCCTGGAGCAGCTGTGCTATGTGGCCGCTTTCACCGTCTCCTCCTACTCCACCACCGTCTTCCGCACCAGCAAACCTTTCAACCCGCTCCTGGGGGAGACCTTCGAGCTGGATCGCCTGGAGGAGAACGGATACCGCTCCCTCTGCGAGCAGGTGGGGCCGGCTCCTCTCCTCTCCTTTCCCGGGCTGTTGGGGTGGCCGGCACTGAGCTGTCCCCAATCAATCCCATGTCCAGGTGAGCCACCACCCGCCGGCCGCCGCCCACCACGCCGACTCCAAGAACGGCTGGACGCTGCGCCAGGAGATCAAAATCACCAGCAAATTCCGAGGGAAATACCTCTCCATCATGCCTCTGGGTGAGCACCCCAGGAGGGTGTGGGATTTTTGGGACCACCTGAGGTTCCAGGTGTGGTTCCCAGCACGATCTCCGTCCCTCAGGCACCATCCACTGCGTCTTCCACTCCTCCGGCAACCACTACACGTGGAAAAAGGTGACGACCACCGTGCACAACATCATCGTGGGGAAGCTCTGGATAGACCAGGTGGGAAGTTGTGGATGGGAGGTGTAGGGAAGCATGGATCCCCGAGGAATGGGCATGGGTGGGTCTGACTCTCCTCTCCTCTCCACAGTCAGGTGAGATCGAGATCGTCAACCACAAGACAGGGGACAAGTGCATCCTCAAGTTTGTCCCTTACAGCTACTTCTCCCGGGATGTGGCGAGGAAGGTAGGGACGCGGAGCCATGGGAGATTTAGAGCTGATCATGACTCCGGTATGTCCTGATCCAGGCTGTCCCCTCTCCTGCCAGGTGACCGGGGAGGTGATGGACCCCTCGGGAAAGGTGCATTTTGCCCTGCTGGGCACATGGGACGAGAAGATGGATTGCTACAAGGTCCAGCTGGGAACAGGGGAGAACGGAGCCGAGGCGCGGCCACGAGCCCACGAGGCCGAGGACAGCCGGGTGCTGCTGTGGAAGCGGAACCCGCTGCCGTGAGTGGGGAGAACGGGGACGAGGCATCCCGGGGAGCCGGGCTGCGGGGCTGGCGCTGAGCCCCGTTCCTTGCCGTGCCGTAGGAAGTACGCAGAGAACATGTACTACTTCTCGGAGCTGGCGCTGACCCTGAACGCACCAGAGAGCGGGACAGCCCCCACGGACAGCCGGTGGCGCCCGGACCAGCGGCTCATGGAGAACGGCCGGTGGGACGAGGCCAACGCCGAGAAGCAGCGGCTGGAGGAGAAGCAGCGGCTCTCCCGCAAGCGCCGCGAGGCCGAGGCCGCCCGCGCCACCGAGGACGGTAAGGCACGGCTGTCACACTGGGGTGTCCCCTCTGGGTGTCCCCCCCAGGCCCTCACCCCGCTGTGTCCCCCCCCTTCCCCAGGGACACCCTACGATCCCTACAAACCGCTGTGGTTCGAGCGCAAGAAGGACCCGGTGACGCAGGAGCTGGCGCACGTCTACAAGGGGGGCTACTGGGAGAGCAAGGAGAAGCAGGACTGGAGCTTGTGCCCGGATATTTTCTGAGCCCTGTGAGGAGGAGGAGGAGGAGGAGGAGCGGCGAGGGGGGAGGGATGAAGGCCAGGACCCCCCCTGTCCATCCGTCTGTCTTAACCGTGTGTCCCCGTGCCTCGCCGTGAGCGCCGGCCGGGCTTTGCCTTAGCCCACCCAAACTGACCTTGGGGAACAGGAGCCAACACAGCCCCCCTCAAATCCGAGCTGGAGCAGGGGGGGTCCCACCCACCTCCTCGGCACCCCGGGGTGGGGGGCACGGCCGCCCCTGTGGTGGGGGGCCCCGGGGAAGGCGCAGCGGGGCGAGCCCGAGGCTGGCCTTGGTCTCCCCCCCTCCCCTTTTATTCCCGTTCCCCTTCGCCCCCAGGAGTTCGGGTGCTTTTGGGGTCCGGGGGGGGCCAGACTCCCCCCCAGCCTGTTCTATAGGTGTATATTATATATATGTAGAGAGCAATCGGGGTCCCCTTCTCCCCCACAGCCCCCAGTTTGGGGGGTCCCCGCCCTCCCCGGGGTGGCCCCCACGTGTGGGGACCCCCCATGAGGTGCCTTCCCTGTAGGTTTAGGGCAGGGGGAGGGCCTGGGTTTTGGGGGGGGGGGGGTCTCTCCAGGGTGCAGTGGGACCCCTGCACCCCCAGACACTACAGGGGTGGGGAGATGCGCCATGGGGGGAGTCTCTGCACCCCCGAATCTGAAATTGGGGGCGTTTGATGCCTTTTTATTTTTTCTTTTTTTGGGTTGTTGTTTTTTTTTTTTTTTGTCTCCAGAAAAAGAACTAAATTAAAATCTGTGAATGCCCCAGCCCTGCGCCTGCTCTGTGGGGTAGAGGGAGGGTCCAGCCCCTCCCTGCGGCTGATTTTGGGGGGACCCCCTAGTCCTGTAGGGACCTGAGTGGAAGCGCCCAAACAGAGACTTGAACCCCATTCATGAGATTCTCCAGGAGCCTCCCTGTCCACACCCCAGGTTCTGCTGCCCTGGTGGGGGGGATTGGGGCTGTCTCCTGTGTCCCCCTGTGTTCCTCACTGGATTTGGGGTGCTGGGGATACCTTGGGTGACTGGGGGGACCCATTTTGGCCCAGGGGGTCACCTGCTCTGGGGGGGTGGCATCCAAGGAGGGGAGGTCCTGAGTGTTCCTGGGACCCTCTGGGGGCACTTCCATGGGCGGGGATGTCCCCAGGGATCGTGGGGACCCCCTGCGAGTGACACAGGTGCCCCCATGCCCTCCCCGTCCCCATGGTACGGCGCCTCTGATTGGCCAGTTGGTTTGAGTGACAGTTTCGGGAGGGCTGGCTTTTCCCCGCCCACCTTGAATTGGAGCGTGCTGATTGGCTAGCCGATCGCAGCGGGTCAGATTCAGCCAATGGGAGGGCTCAGTGTGGCCCTGCAGCCACGCCCCCGGCAGTGCCCGCCCCTTGTCCTCCGTGGGACCCCGCTGTCCCCACCCCCGGGTGGCACCGGGGAGACAGTGACTCCACAACCAGCAGACATTCCTCCAGCTCCGGTCACAGGGGTTTATTGGGGCCCGGCCTCCGCCGGCTCTGCCGCCACCGCCGGTGGCTCTTGGGGTCGGGGCTGTCTCTTGGGGTCGGGGGTGTCGCCTCTGCCCCATTGCCAGATGCTCCGCTCCAGCTGTTCCCTCTGATCCCCGATGCTGGCAGAGCGCTCGGGTCGGTCGGCCGGGCAGGGAGGGGCTGAGAAGGGGCTGAGGGGTCGTCCGGGGATCCCCTCCTGCCCGGTGTCTCCGTTACCGGGACGACAGCATCATCACGAACTCTGTGGGGCGAGGAGGGCACGTCAGGGGAGCCGGGGCTCAGCCCTGCCGCGGCCCCAAGGGGAAGGGGATGCCCTCACCGTCGAAATCCACATGGCCGTCCCCGTTGAGATCCACGTCCTGCAGGATCTCGTCCACCTCCTGCGCCTTCAGCTGCTCCCCGAGCAGTGCCGCGATGGCCTCGCGCATCTCGGCCGTGCTGATCTCCCCGTCCCCGTTCATGTCGAACTGCGGCACCCGCAGGCTGGGGTCACCCTCCCTCCACGGCCACCAGCACCCCCAGGCTCCCTGTGGTCACTGCCTCCTCTGCGCTCATCGTCACCACCATGGTCATCGTTCACCCCTGGTCACTGTCTCCTCCATGCCTGTGGTCACCCCATGGTCATCATTTCCCCACAGTCACTGTCACCTCCATGCCTGTGGTCACCCTATGGTCATCATTCCCCCCTGGTCATTGTCCCCTCCATGCCCGTGGTCACCCCATGGTAATGGTTTCCCCCCAGTCATTGTCCTCTCCTGCCTGTGGTCACCAGCACGGTCTTCCCATGGTCAGTGTCCCCTCATGGTTCCCCCTATGGTGACCATCTTGCCATGGTCTTCCCGTGATCACCATCCCCTCCATGCCCTATCATCACTGTCCCCACCAGAGTCTCTCCAGGGTCATTGTCCCCTCCATGCCTGTGGTCGCCCCATGGCCACTGTTTCCCCATGGTAATTGTCCTCCCCTGCCTGTGGTCACCAGCATGGTCTTCCCATGGTCAGTGTCCCCTCCATGGTCACCATCTTGCCATGCTCTTCCCGTGATCACCATCCCCACCATGCCCCCATCATCACTGTCCCCACCAGGGTCTCTCCAGGGTGACTGTCCCCTCACGGCTGTGGTGCTGCTGAGGAGGTGACACCACGCCCGCTGTCCCCGTGGTGGTGTCCCTACCTCGCGGAAGGCAATCTTGAGCTCCCTCACGCCCACCATGTGCGCCGTCTCCTCCCGCAGCTTCGGGCCCATCATCTGCACAAAGTCCTCGAAGTCCACGCGGCCGCCCACTGTGGCAGGAAGGGGACAGACACCCTCAGCACCCCAGGGACCCCAGGTCCCCTCCCCGTGTCCCCGAGCCCACTCACTCCTCATCTTGATGTGCTGGGAGATCTCGATGAGCTCCATCTCGGTGGGCATGTAGCCCAGCGTGCGCATGCAGGCGCCCAGGTCCTTGTAGCTGATGTAGCCATCCTGGTCCGTGTCAAACTCCTTGAAGGCGTCCAGCAGCTCTGGGCACGGCCACAGGTGGGGACAGGGACATCATCAGGAGTGGAGGGTCACACGGACACTGCGTCACCCCGGGGCAGGTCCCTTCTTGGATGTGGGAGGCCCTTCCATGGCCTTGTCCCCACGGCAGATCCCTCCATGACAGATCCATCCCTCCCCGCCATTCCCCTAGGCCCGTGTCCCCACCCCGTCCCCCCTGCTCACCATCCAGCTCCTCCGGTGACAGCTCCCGCTCCTGCATGGGACACACAGAAGGGGTGACAGCAGAATGACACCCAGCACCGTGTCCATCCCCCTCTTTGCCCCCCCAAACCTCGGTGTCACCTTTGTTAAGCGTGGGCCAAAATTAACTCCAGCGGAGGATTAGTGGGATTGGAGGCAAAGCCCCGCCCTGCCCCGTGCCTGCACCTCCCACCTGCCCTGTCCCTGTCCCCGTGTCCCTGCTCCTGTCACCCACCCCAGGGATGTCCCACCCCGGGACCCCAGGCTCTGGGTGGGAAGTGCTGGGTGGCCAGAGGGGGGTTGTACTCCAGAGGTGCAGGGGCAGCATTTTTACCCCCACAGAGCTCGGCTGCCCCTGCTCTAGATGTCCCCTCAGTATGTCCCCTCTGTCCTCAGGGCCCTGGAGCATCCCCAACACCATTCCCAGCACCATGTCCCACCTATCCCCACAATTCCAGGCTGTCCCTCACTGTTCCCAGTCCCCCATGTCCCCTTCATCCCCAGGTTTCCAGCTGGTCCCTGAGCCCATTCTCACTGTCCCCATGTCCTCATCCCTAGGGTCCCAGAGTGTCCCCTACTGTGTCCCCACTGTCCCCACGTCCTTTTAATCCCCAGGGACCCAGAGAGGTCCCAACCATGTCCCCAGTGCCCAACATCCCCTCCATCCCCAGGGTCCCGGAGTGTCCCAACCCCATCGCCACTGGCCCCATGTCCCCTCCATCCCCAAGGTTCTGGAACATCCCCATCCCACTGTCCCCAGGCCCACCCTGACTGCCTCATTGCCCTCTTCATCTGCAGGCTCCTGGACTGTCCCTGTCCCCATCTCCACTTTCCCCATGTCCCTTCCATAGCCAGGGACCTGGAACAGCCCCACTGTCCCCATGTCCCCAAGTCTCAAATGCTCCACATCCCCTCCATCTGCAGGCTCCTGGGCTATCCCTGTCCCCACCTCCCCTGTCCCCACCTCCCCTCCATCTCCAGGGTCCCTCCATGCCCACTCTGATGCCCATGTCCCCTCCTGGTGTCCCCACCTTGCCGAAGACGGTGTTGAGGAAGGGGGAGTAGGTCTTGATGGCGGCAGCGTGGGGGTCCACGGGCCCCTTCTTCCCGCCCTTCTGCCCGTGCCCGCCGTGCCGGGACTCGGAGCCGGAGCTCTTGGGGGCCGGGGCGCCGGCGTCCTCGGGGGCTTTGGGGGCTTTCTCCCCCTCCTCGTGCCCCCCTTTCCCCTTCTGC